CGGAGGGGAGAGACGGGGGCGGGAGAGTTGACCGGTCCAGACAAAAGAGGAAGGACGAACACGCAAGACATCGGGGAGAAGGAGGAGGATGAAGATGAGGATGAGGAGGAGAAGGATGATGATGATGATGATGATGATGATGATGATGATGATGATGATGAGGATGAGGAGGAGGAGGAGGAGGAGGGGGAGGGAATTTCGTCTTACTTTGAGCTTGGCAAGGAGGTCATCAGTAACCTCAACGAACGTTGAAGTTCCTTCAACTTCATCTACCTGACCAGCAGGTCAGCCCAGCAGCCGCCACACAGCATGTGAGGGCGACGTTGCGAAGAACGAGTGCGTCGGTAGCAGACAGTATCATCCTCTCCTCTCCTCCGACCTCCATCCTCTTCCCGATTATGTTCGCCCCCGAGGTTGAGAAGAGGGCAGTGACACACATCTTCTCCGACAGCTGCTCCTGCTGCTCAGCGTCGGGTACCGCCGCCTCCAGCCCCAGCAGCTTAAGCTTGCTCACGGTTCGAGCGAGAGTCGCGTCGTCGATGGAGGAGACGGTGTTCTCAATAAACAGCACCTGCCAGCTCTTGTCGAACAGCACGATCTTCCCGCTGTCAACCTCCAGCTCCTCCTCCAGCTGCTTCTCTGACAGGCTCGACAGGTCATGGATCGATCCGATCCCAAACTTCATCTTGAGCAGAGGCAGCACAGCAGCCGTCTCCTCCCCCAGCCCCTCGAACATCTTCCTCAGGCCCTCTCCCTCCTGCTCCAGCTTCACATTCTTAGACAGCAGGGATCGCTCCGTCGGCACTTGCGGCATCTTCAGCATAAGCATCGCCATCATCTCCGGCACCAGCGTCTTCAACTCCGACGGTTTGCTGCTCGTGTGCCGCCCGGTTAGCCGGAACAGCGCCGCCATGGTCTCTCGCACCGAGTGCTCTCCTGCCTTCCTCTCCTTGAAGAGCAGGTCCCCTTTCTCCCCGTTGTCCCACAGCCTCGCGCTATTGGTGCTCTTGTGACATGGCGGCTGCCCGACCTTGGCGACCTCCCCATGTGCGAAGTTGTCCAGCCCGAAGGAGGAGAACTTGGAGCCTGTCTTGTCCTGCAGGAGGATCAGGAGGACTCGCTTCAGCCCCTTGAGCTTCTCTGCAAGCGCGTACTCGTACTCCAGCAGCATCACGTCCTCGCTCCTGTGCGCATCGTAAATCCTCCTCAGCCCGTCCTCCGACACGACCAGCAGCACGTTCTTCGCGGGCCCCAGCCCGAGCTGGACCCGCTGCTGCCACGTGTGGCCGTCGGGGAGGAAGACGGAGACGCTCTCGTCCTCGCTCCTCTTCTCCTTCTGCAGCACGCTTGCGATCTTCGAGGCAACATCCCAGTCAGAGTACCCGTAGGGATCCTTCTCGCGGTACGAGATGTAGAAGTCAACGCTGCCCGGTGCCGCCCCCACATCCTCGGCAGGAGCAAAGGACGAGCCCGTCTTGTCCTCCTCTCCGCTCTTCTCCGTCTTCTCCTCATCTCCGACCTTCCCCTTCTGATCGCTTTCAGGATCCCCCGCCTCCTCCATGCTTCACAGGAGGCTTGTCGCAACTTGCTGCATACAAGAATGAGTTTGCAGGAAGAGACCGAGTAACACGAGCAAAACCACAACTGATTCTATGAGTATCCAATGAAAAAATCTGTTCTTGTTCACACCATCTCCCATCTCTTCTCTCCCTCCCACCTTCACCCTACCCTACCTCGTTTATCCTCTCCCTGATATATTTTCCTCCCTCTCCCTCTCCCCATCCCCATCCCCATCCCCATCCCCTTCCTCGTCCCCTTCCTCGTCCTCGTCCTCGTCCTCCTCCTCGTCCTCTTCCCTCCCTCCCTCCCTTCTGCTCGCTCCCATCTTGGTTCAGGTCGCTGAGGCGGAGTAAACTGAAATTGAGACCGCTCAGTCCCTGTCCGCGGGCCGGCCCGTGCTTGACTGCCATAGGGCCGCGGCCCGGCCCGGCCCGTGCTGCGGCAACTCATCCTCACGGCCGGGCCCGCCGGATACTTCCCGATGAACTGCAGTGCAGTGACAGCCTCCGTGACTGAGTCGCCTGCCGGAACTTCAAGTGGGACTTTCAAAACGTGACTCAATGTCGGAACTCCCGAACTCGGCCCGCCGGGCCGGGCGGAACTCGGAACCGTTGAACTTCGGATCGGACTCGTCCCGAGACAGCCTGGCAGTCGAGCCTGCCTCAGGACCTTTGTACGGCCACCGGACCCAGCACCGGACCCCCCATCATGTACATGTCCCGGCTCGTACCCTCCCCTACCCTCACTACCCCTTGAACCCCACCCCCCTAGCCCCCACCAGTGCTAGGCCCCCATATCGCAATACAACCCCCTCCCATACACCCAAGTTTTGACCCGCAGAAAAACAGAGGGGGTGGTCATTCTGTGTCCTGGGGTACATACCCACCATCTCATCTACACAGAAAGAGAGGAAAGAAGGGGGTAGTATGTGGAAAGTACGGGTGTTGACAAGAGGGTCATTGGTACGACAGGTGGGGTGGGGTTGTCTCTGTGTCCTGTGACCGACAGTACTCTGTGGCCAACACCATTTTTGAGTCTTCTATAATTTTGATTGAAATTACACATTATAATTTGAATACTTAAGATATCTTTTCATACATTAGAAACTGGCGTCATGGGTGGGTATACTACTAGAGCTAGAGGGGTACATACGGGGATATGGTGGGGTGAAAGAAGGGGAAATGGGGGTAGGGGTGATTTTATTGGAAAGGGTGGGAAAGTGGGGGGTCGGGAATGGGGCGGTACAATGAGAGGATGGAGTAAGGCCGATGCGGGGGAGGCGAGAAGAGCAGAGAGTAGAGACGAAGAGAAGCAGAGGGGAGGGGAGGACTGCCAGGTTGTAACGCGGAGACGGATAGTGGAGTGGTGCTTTGTTCATGGTTGATGAATGTGCCATTGGGTCACGAGATGGGCCGTGAGGGGTTGATGAAACTCGGTGAACATGTTATGCATGAGGGGGAGCCCTGATGGCAGAGAGTAGGATGAGGATGAAGACATTCATCATGATAGAGAGTTTTTCGACATAATACCAGGGGCAGGCAGGATCATCGCGAGACAAAGCAGCTATCTCGTTACAGTATTGACCGAGGGTACATGGGATTGTAAATGGAGGATTGATTTCATGAAGACTTGCTATGGCAACGGCCCACTGAAAGAATGTCACGAGGTTGGTAGAACTTGACAGCCTTTTGCAGGTAGGCGATGCCTGCCGTTTGATTCGAACGAGCACCGGACAGCCGTCAGCCTCTACGTCACAGCAACCTTGGAAACATGTCCGACTGCGAAGATGTGGAGGAGGTAAGAAGAACTTTGTCTTTGAGCTCTTGTGTAGTGCAGGTATTCCCTGAGTTCAAACTTGGCATAGGATGGCAGTGATAGAATGAGCTGTAATGTCGATGACTCGGATGAGATTTTCGACGATGACGACGACGACTGCTCAGTGAGAACTTTGTTCTATGGACATGATTGCGAATGTTTCTGTCGTCAAACTCACCCTCATGGTCCTCAGATGGAGGTTTGCACGAAAGACTCGCACCATTCCGGACCATCGGTGCGTGTCCGGTCTATGGTGTCACGCGCTTACCGTGGTGTAGAACATGCCGGAGTCATGCTACGTGAAGTTGACAGCGGATGACATAGTCAAGGAGCAGAGGAAACTGATCCAGGTGTTTGTAGGGATGTACCTGTTTGCCCGTTCTTGACGCTTCAGCCTCGTAGAATGTGGTGGAGTTAACTAAGCTCCCTGGGCATACTGCAAGGCAGCTGCTGCAGGTACTGATGTGGCTGAACCTGCTCTAGATCCCTCACCCTGGTCGGCAGGAGATGAAGTGGAGCTTCGAGAACGTTGCAGTGTTGTATTATGACGATCAAGATAAATTGTTTGCAAAGGCGGGGATCTCAGTCAATGGAGAGGTAGCGAAGGGATGGAGGGGGCCAAGGGTCGGTTGATTGCTGTCTTCAGGCTATCGATGCTGTGGCTGTACGAGGGTCTTCGGGGAGCTTTGTGTTAGATCAGCAGACCATAACGTGCCAAGTAAGACAGTTGATGGTGTCTAGTTCGCCGGTAGGAACTGTGTGCACCGCAGGTCTGCCTGGAAGACTTTGAGAGGGAGGAGGCCGAGAAGGGGATGTCGGTAAGTTGCGATGAAGAGAAGTATACTGGTGATGTGAGACATCGGCGTTGCTGCAGACGGCGTCTGGTTGTGGGCATGTCTTCTGCAATGCATGCTGGGTAAGACACATCACAACACAAGTGAAAGAGGGTCAGGTGATTCTGCTGGAAGCTCTTGTGCTTGCGTTGATGCCCTGACATTTTTGTAGGCAGCAAGGATCTCTTGCGCAGGGGAGACATTCGTTGAGGGGAAGAGAAGAGTGAGAAGGCTTTTTCTTCATCCTTGTTCCTCCTATGATTGCTTGCTAGCGTTGCAACATAATCTTGGATGAATGCTTCGTTGAAGAACTGCTGAGAGGATCAGGAGGTGAGGTCGAAATTCTTGCAAGAGGTAGAAGGTGTTGTGGAAAAGTACTTTGATCAGTATGTCGGCACATGACAGGACATGATTCAGTCTAGATGTCCTGCTTGACAATTTCTCACACGAATTCTTTCAGGATCTGCAGAGATTCTGAAGAAGTATCAGACGCGTTTGATTGACTCCTATGTGAATAATAATCCAACGATCAAGTGGTGTCCGGTGATCCTTTGAGCTTATCTTATCTCCGAACTCTTGTCGTGATCAAGCTCTGCATGGTTTGGCTGTGGTGTCGATGAAAGATCTGAGGAAAATTTCTTGTGATGTTGTGTACGAGCCTAGTTCATCTTCTCTGATGAACAATCGAACCTCTGTGCGAATTTCAAGATTTGTGCGCGATGATTTACCTTCTGCATTTACAGGCAACCGATTGTACTAATGCCATCCGGGTCACGGATTCTTTCGATCCCAGCAGGTAAACTTGCTTTCCATGCAGAGCATGTCGAGGCCAAGCGGAGTCTGAGAAGAGCTGAATCTGCTTCCCTCTCGCAGCTTCGACACAAGCGTAGAATGCAGCGATGGGCATGTCTGGTGTTTCAACTGCCTGGATGTGCGACAAACAACTCTCAAACCCTCTTCCACTTGCTTATCAGGTCGCAGGAACCACACGCGCCTGCTGAATGCTCCAACGTGAAGGAGTGGAGAAAGAAGTGTCAGGTCTGTCGAGCGCTGCCGGATGCAAAGGGTCTGAGAGCCCGCATCGTTCGCTGCAGGAAGACAGTGCGACTAGCAACTGGCTGGTGGCGTACACCAAGGACTGTCCCAACTGCAAGGTTGCGATCAACAAGGATGGGGGCTGCAATCACATGTGAGGGACATGAAGTTGAGCTCATGTGGACCCCCTCTGACTTCTCCTCCTCCTAGGCACTGCAAGCACTGCGATCATCACTTCTGCTGGGTGTGTCTTGGTACGACCACCCCGTCCTCTCCCCTCCCATCTCCCCTCCCTTCTCTGTCGCCTCTACTTCCCGCTCCCCTCTCCTTTCCTTGAGATCTCCTCTCCTCTCTCCTCTCCCCCTTCACTGGCATATTCCTTCTCTCCTCTCTCCTCTCTCCTTCCTCTCTCCTCTCTCCTCTCCCTTCCGTCCCCACCTCTCCTCTCCCTTTCCTCCATATTCCCTTTCCCTTGCCCACCTGTCAAGTTTCTTCCTCTCCTCTCCCTTTCCTCCATATTCCTTGAGCACAAGACCTACCAGCATACTTGCAACAAATTCGTAGACGACGAGTCCAAGATGGCGTCAGGGAGGTATGACGTCATCGCTCAAGACAAGATTTCGACCCTTCTGACATTTTCACCTTAGAACGGCATTGCAACGATACACACATTATTACGAGAGGTTCAACAACCACAGCAAGGTGATTTTCTCCTTTTTATCATCGTTGCTGCATCACTCCTTCTGTACCTCCGCTGTTTCCTT